ACTGTCCAATACAGAACTACTAGTGACTTGGTGACTTAGGGCTATTGATCACTTGAAATGTGACTAGTGTCACTGAAGATTTTGAATTTCAATTAATTAGCACATATAACTTGTGGCTACCTAACAAATCTGGAGTTTGACTTACCTATTTTCACTTTCTTATTTTTGTAGTATGTGGAATCTGAATCCATATGTGGATTAGGAAATCTAGATTTATTTTTTTTCTATAACTAGTTGTGTGTCCCCCATTGGACCACTACTTTCTTATTTGTAAACAGACAATATGGACTAGATAATCTCTAGGGAGTTGCTTGCGGTAATCATTTTCTGGAAAATTTCATTCTTTATGCACAACTGAGGTGTTTGCATGTGGATATGTGTATATGGGTATGCAAACAAGCACGAATATTAAATGGCAAACTTTGGGATCCATTTCCTCCCATTGTTGAGTTTCTCTTGCCCTTTCCTTTTAGTTCTATGTCAGAGGCTTCTGTATAATCATGTATTTTTATTTTACCAGCCCTTTACTGTTATTGCTCTAACCTCCATCTTTTCTCAACTTACCTCACCATTTAACAGTGGCTGTGAGTGAAATGGAAGCAGAAGTGTTTGACCCACTGCTAAGAGATTACACATTCCATGTGATAACACTGTATTCCACATAAAAATATTTAAGAATCAGGAAGACTCATGTCCAGGATTATGGTCAAAGAACAGTCAGATATGAGGGAAGTTTGAAAGAAAGAGATAAGAGGGGCTAACACATAAGGAGATTTGGGGACAGGAGAGGGTCAGTGTTTATATGTGAAGTATGATGTTCATGTGCATTTCTTCTTCACCAAACCGCAAGAGTTTGGGGCTCCAATGGCTATAGCCAGGTTTCACAAACTTCAAGGATTGTGACAGATCTGAGCAGATAAGTTAAATTGATTTCCCTTATCTTCTTGTCTTCCCACAAATTTCACACGTTGGTCATATCCTATGTGTTAACCATCCTACTAGGTACTCTCACATATACTTCTTGGAGCCAATGCAGACATCTTGTGCTCTCTATCCTTAGTCAAGCTTTGTCTTGGTCCTATTAAATTTTGAGTCATCTCTAAGCCCTACACCAGGTTCTATTATATTCATCTTTATTCTTTCTTCAGTTGAATTCTTTATTCATCTTCAGTTGAATTGCAAATATAATTGTGGATAGTGATGTTCAGTGAATGGTTTCAAGAGATACATTATATGGGTTGCTAACCAGAAGGTCAGCAATTCAAACCTGCCAGCTGCTCCATGAGAGGAAGATGAGGCAATCTACTTCCATAAATATTTACAGCCTTGGAAACCTAATGGGGGTCTCGATGAGTCAGAATTGACTTGATGGCAGTGGTTTTAGGTTTTTGGTATTATATGTCTGAGGTGAATTGAGGTTAAGAGGCAAAACAACCAGAATGGCTGAAAAATATTTTATGAGCAATTCAAATCAGACCTGTGAATTCTGGGAAATGCAGTCATCTCTATCCCTTCTTTCTTCTCCAATGTACAGCCTTCCAATGTACATGATCTTTGTCATGCACATCTACTCTGTTTTCACAATTATGCCTTTCTTTTGTTTACAGATGGAAAAATCATCCCAGGAGGC